CTCATATATACTCGAGATTATGGGTTACATTATTCTAGAGATCATGTTGTCCTAGAAGGATACTTCGATTCCAGTTGGATATTTGATATTCAAGATACCAAAGGTACAAGTGGATATGTATTCACTTTGGGATGAGGAAATGTGTCATGAAAATCCTCAAGATAAACGATTATAACTCAATCCACAATAGAATTTGAGTTTATAGTTCTAGACAAATCTAGAGAAGAAGTAGAGTGGCTTTGATATTTTCTTGAGGATATACCTAAATGGACAAAACCTCTGCCCATAGTATGCATATACTGTGACAACCAAGCAATAATTACTGAGAACATAATATCGTTAGACAATTGATTCAAAGGGTATTATCTCTATTGATTTTGTAAGATTAAATGATAACATCACAGATCCACTAACCAAATTGTTAAATTGAGATAAGTTGAGAAAACATCTAAAGGAATGAGGCTAAAGCCTATGGAAATTAAAGGTGTTATGTGAAGGAAACTCTACCTTGTTGACAGGGGATCCCTAGATTGAGGTTCAAAGAGACAACCTAATTATATAAACCGTGTAAGGTCACTGTAGGGGTTTCTAATCTCAAGTCTGTTCCTATGATGAAAACAATTATTAAAGTGATATAGGCTAAGCTAGGCTTTTAATGACCATTGTGTTCTTCGGTCAGCTGAGAAAAATAAGTCACCAATGTGAGAGTGAAGTGGGGCTGCTTCAAGGAGACTATAAGACATAGTTCTTTCAAACTTTTGTAGAACCAAACAATATTCACGGCTAGATGGACATACCAATGAGAAATAATATGCTTGTCAGAAAGAAAAATATGTGAAGTGTATTTTTTTTACACAAACTATAGAATAGTTCAAGGACATCACATCTACTTGTTAGCCAGTAAATTAAATATACTATCACAAGGGAAAGTTCAAAGGATGATACTTACATATCGTATGCAACTATTGTTCGTAGGGTCTATCACCATATTGAGTAAAAAATGCTTTGATAAAATCATCAATTTTATTAATGTGGGAGATTGTTGGAAAATTTATGATAAATTGGAAACTTTGAGGCATATTTTATAAGGGCAAAGGTGGAGATTTGAATAATGAATTTATTGATTCATATTCAAGTCCATAAGATCATTACAACAATATCTCATATACTCAAAATGATTTAATGATGAATGAGAAATTGATGCTTAAAATAGGGTGTATGCAAATTGTGTTGTGTAAGGAAAATGAGAAAACCATATATCTTACATTGGTGGGATAACAAGCATAAGAATAATTTATATACATCCCCCACTTACTAGACATTGAATGACTTGGTTTGGGATTGTGCCTCACGCGCAAGCGTAGACGGGGTGAAAATCAAAATCGTTAAACCCATCGGGGTTGGGGGCGCACCCGCACAACATGGGCGACACGAATGTATGGACTGATCGGGCCTTTGAGAGCATATGAATATTTTACCCAATTTGAATTAAATATTTTTCTTAAATGTAACATATATTTTTTAATATTATGAAAAAATGATATTATATTATTTCTTTTAATTAGAATATTAATATGATATATCTTGTAGTTCATTCAATTAAATGTGGTATTAATTGATTACTTCCAAATTTATTCAGATACTCATTAAGAACCTCACTTTTCAAAATATATTTTTACTGATTACTTTAGAATTTATTTGGATACTCATTAATAACCTTACTTTTCAGAATATTTTTTCAATTCTTCTCCCATGAGAAACTCTATAAATATCGTGTAAACCTACTAGGTTAAAAAAAAATAAAAAAACTCTTTTCTTCTTCTATAGTTTTCGATGATAGTCTCAGGCAAAATATAGTACATGATCTCTACAGTTGTGCTACTATACGTTAATAATCTTGTTGTTGATGCATCTTGGGAGACAAACAACCAAAAATCTCGAGCACCAATGAGTGACCGAAAATTTGTCTTAAGGAATTGTGTAGCTATAGGCCTCAGCTAGTTTCCAGTTCATTATTCCATCGATATTCGGGTTTTTTTACTCTAAATTGTACCTTTTATTTGTAAAATATTTTTTCTTTTTCGTCTTGAATTATTATATTTGTAACAGATTTTATGTTGGAAAACAAATATATAAAATTAAATAAAGATAAATTTATAAATTTTTTAAAGAAATAAAAAAATATTTTTGATAAAAAATATATAAGAATTTAAAATAAAAAAAATAACTCTCACCTATTTTCCTCCATCTATCCCTAGTTGAGTTTATAGGAGGGGTGACAATGACAATCTCTTTATGGGTATGTATCAAACCAACAAAAAATTTTTGCCTTCTTTTTGGTGTCTCTTTTGGTGTTATTCCGGTAATACGTTGACACCTAGATTAAAATATTAAATTATTTTAATTTATTTTTACCTTTAGTAAATCCATATCATCATTAGAACCTTCATTCTCCTCTATCTTGATCTCGACGATCGATGCAACATTACCTCCATTGCCACCAAATGTAGGAGTAACAATGGCACCACCACCACCACCACCACCACCACCTAAAAGAACTGAAGTCAACTTCTCCCTTTAATGGCTTCCCCTGTTTGGGCATGCTTTGTTTGCTTTGCTTTTCTTCTTCGGACACATTTGACATGGTGCTAGAACCCTGTTCAAAGATGTTTTTACCGGTATTGATCCAGATTTGTATGCTTAAGTGGAATTTGGAACATTCCAAAAACTTGGAGATCCAACTACAAGAAGACAAGTAGTCTGATGTAAGATTGCTTTGTTATTTTTTGCTTTTGCTTTCTATTTGTGATTTGATATAGGCGACTGGTGATTAAAACCGCTATCTTTTCCTTTTTTTTTTCTTTCTTTATTTTTTTCGGGAGATGATTTCAAATAAACATGTACGGAAGTTATAATTGTAAACCACAATCACATTTATGGAAGCATTGGTTTATACATTCCTCTTAGTGTCTACTCTAGGGATCTATGTTGCACAGGGACGGCAGAGGGAGTACGCGAAACGTCCTTGGCACGGGGACAGTACGGGGATGGCTGGGGTACGTACCAGGGATGTGCCACGGTGGCAGAGTACGGACAAACGATATGAGGGACGTTTCGGTGCTCGCTAGGGACGTTTCACTCGTTTCTCACATGACTCCTCAATCTCCATTGCCATAGCAGCTTTCCCTCTCGAATCAGATCAGTAATCCTCCAACAATTAAACTGCAAGAAGGTTAAAAACACCGTTTCTCTATTCGTTTTTCCTTCTTTGCAGTGAAAATGGCAGAGCCTGCAACAGTAACACAAGCAGCAGCACCAGCACTGCCTCTGCTGAAAGATGAGCTCGACATCGTTATACCAACCATAAGGACTTGGACTTTCTTGAGTTGTGGAGGCCTTTCTTCCATCCTTACCATCTCATCATCGTTCAAGATGGTGATCCTTCCAAGACCATCAAGGTCCCCGAGGGATTTGAGTACGAGCTTTACAACAGGAATGACATCAATAGGATCCTCGGTCCTAAGGCTTCCTGCATTTCCTTCAAGGACTCTGCTTGCTGTTGCTTTGGTTACATGGTCTCCAAGAAGAAGTATATTTTCACCATTGATGATGACTGCTTTGTAAGTTCCCTTCTATTTTAGTCGATTTTTCGGATCTCTACATTGATTTGAATTCTTGTGGTGTTTTTGTAGTGGGTTTCTGTTATTTTGGTCAAAACAAAAGTTCTATGCTTTTATTGTTTTGCTGTGAGATTTGGATTAACTCATTTGTTGAATCTCCTCTGTGCCCTTCATTATAGTGTCTAGTGTCTACAAAGTTCCCTTCACATGGAGTGCACTTTTGGCAGCTTTGCACGTTCCTAAATCATGAAAATATACCTTACAATTATTAAGGGACTGCTTGCATTGTGATGTACAGCTATGGAATTTTAAAATCTTGGATGTTATATATTCATGTTACATGATGAACATCAATCTGCGAGTCAAGATCTGAGATTTGGGTCTTGTTTTTATTGTTGTTAGGTTGCTAAGGACCCATCTGGCAAAGCGATCAATGCACTCGAGCAGCACATTAAGAACCTGTTATCCCCGTCCACTCCCTTCTTCTTCAACACCCTGTACGACCCGTATCGGGAGGGTGCGGACTTTGTCCGTGGATACCCCTTCAGCCTTTGCGAGGGTGTTCCGATCGCTCTCTCTAATGGCCTTTGGCTAAACATCCCGGATTATGATGCACCAACCAAACTAAACTTAATATTGTAGTTTGAGTCTTGATATTTGACTTTATTTATAATTTTTTACATCTATTTTATATATCGTACTCTTGCAGTTCCCGTACCCTGTAATTTTAGAAATTGCCGTTTCCTAGCCCCTTCCCCGTATCAGTGCAACATAGCTAGGGATAACTTCTTTCGCTATCTTTTTTTCGAAAACCGCCTAAAGTTCAAACTGAAAAATGAAACGATTTTTCATTATCTCAATTGAAGTAAAAGCTCGATCATGGAATTTCCACAAGAGTTTCCAAATTTGCTTCTTTGACTTTCATTAAGACTTTTTTATTAAAGTTTACTGATTATTGGATTTTGCAAGTCATTTTAAGAAACATCGTAATTTGTTATGAATAAATTCGTCAAGCTAATTGCATCTGAAAGGAAGAAATTGGCTTCAATTCCTTCAGGTGACAGTGGTGCCGTCGTTGCTCCTCCAACATTTGGTGGTGATGGAGGTAATGCTGCATCGATCGCCGAAACCAAGGAAAAGAAGAAGGGTCTGATGATGATACGGGTTTACTAACTGTAGAAACATATTAACGATAAAAATATATTAAATGATTTAATATTTTAATTTTAGTATCAACATATTATTGGAGGGGCACCAAAAGAATTCTGTTCTGTATAAGACATAGTTTCTTGTATTTTAGAGCTACAAGGATTTTACCAAAACTTTTTGTTCGTATTTTAGAGTTACAAGGATTTTACAGTTTTCTTGTACATGATTTATATGATGCCATTTTAACGGACAATGAGTAAAAAAAAACTCAAAAAAGGGTGAAAAAAACACAAAGGTAAAACCAAAAACCCCACAAATCGTATTTCTAATTCTAATTGCTTTGGAGACTTGCATTGCCTGGTTATGGACAGTGGACCTTTCCATATCGCTACTCGCAGCAACAGCTTCAAAAGCGACAAACACTCATTTCACAGTCTCTCTTTCCCGATTAAACCGGGTTGAGGATGTTATAGTACGTGATCACGAAGTAAGCGTTCATCAATCCCCCGAGCATCGACAGCTTTTGTTATTAGCCAGCATGCTGTCAAATATAATCAAGACCTTCATTTTGATGCGGCGGGAATGGTATCGTAGGACGTTTGAAAGTGGAGACCGTCACCTATGTGTCCCGTTGTGGGGCATATCCAGCAGAAGATATTTGGACCCAATGCCTGAAACAACAAGACGGAAAACAGATGAAATAAGTGTTGAATGCACCAAGTTCACGATGTTCGATCTAGTCTCGGTCGGCTGGAGTACTAGAACTCAGCATATCAAGGCCACTTAAGATATACAAGATTGGGGATATTTGAACACTCAGTGGCTACAATCTAAAGCTAAAAATAACAAAATGAGGCCTTTTCTGATTTGACAAGATAAAAGTTCCGCTACTGGTGATTACCGACGATAGATTTTCATAGGCCCTGAGATCGTATGGATGCTGGTACACAGTTCCTCCTTTCTCTGCAAGGCACAGAGCTCTCACCCCTTCATGATACTGCCAAATTTCGAACAAAAACAAAAAAGGAAATGTTTAGCAATTCAAGATCAGAATTGAAAATAAACAACATACGAAACATATAAGACTCTCATTACCTCAATAGTGGTCTTGTTTTGCAAAATGAGGTAGATATGCCAACCCAGCAAAACACTTAAGGCCACACTCAATGGGAGCAGAAACAGTCCAGATACAACCTGGAAATGCAAAGTCATGAGCATAGCACTAAGTGAGTTCTAGCTCTATGGGGTCGATAATCATCGGCATTACATATATGATTCTGAAAGAATCTCTCTGCTGCTCGTCGATTCGGGAATCGCTGTTAAGGCTACCAACAAGTAAAACCTGACAATTAAGAGAATAGAAGTGACCAAATGGTTTCAAGAACCCAGGGTGAAAATAGATATGTTATTGTGATAGAACATACCAGAGAATAGAAGCAAGCAATTACGGCATACACAACGAAGACAAAGAAGGCCTTGTAGTTGGCATGACCGACACAATTATTAATCCAAACGCAATGGTGATCCTTACAATCAAGAAGAGAACTTTAGCACATTATCGAGGACATACGAGTACATGCATGAATAATGATAATAACAATGTAGATTGCACCTACCATTCTCAGAATGCACCTCTTGCAAATACGGCAGTGATGTGCACGAGGAGGCTTAAAATGAGAACACTTTTGGCAATATCTCAAGTCCCCTCCCTATGGTACATTTCAAACAAATGATTTTAACTCCCAAACACGTCTGTTAACCTCCTAAATGAGAAGACAATTCATTGACTACATTCATACGTTAGATCAAACATGAGCCACAGAGACATATGCTTAGAAGTTAGCCGTTAAACACACGACAAAATCACAACGGTGACACAAGACGGAGATACTTCCCCTGATTACGCTAACAGATTGATGAATCGGTAGTTACAGAGTCCTCGATGAAAGCGAGGTAAGCGGATCAGTATAGAAACCAACCATGGTGATGCTATAATGAGTCAGAACCCTGAATGCAGGAGCAACTCAGGGGCAAGAATTTATTGTGGTTTCTTCACCACACTCGAGAAGTAATTATGTTTTTAGTACCATAAATACATGTTCAAAGCTTAGAGACGATGTTACTGAGAAGGAGAGACACAAATCCTAGTTATATCTAAAAAAGGACATGTTTGATACCTAAATAAGTAGCAATACTTTTGAGAATGTATTTTGCTAATACATAAACGGACATCTTTGACAGAACAGGAGGATTGGCCTCCTGTGAGGATTCTATTTCTATAGAGATGTTGGGTAATGGTTACTCCCATTTTCAAAGGGTATTCTTAAAACAAATACAGTTCGGAAGCTAATACATAAGACTTGCCATTCAGCCAGACAAATACATATATGCCCCCATCCATCTTCCTCAAAGGATTTTTTTTTGCATGCAATAACCCCAACATTATTTTCTATTTTTTATAGCAAATTCAAATGGCAAAAATTAACCATTTTCATCAAAAATAAAATAAAATTATTTAGAGGAAAAAGAAAATCACGGACGGGAAACATAAGCAACCTTACCAGACAAAGGAAAACATTGGATTTTCTGACCGTACCTTGCGTTTGATCTCATGGATAAAAACTTTGGAATGTTCGATGTCGGGCATGTAAGTAGAAGGAACCAGACCCGGATCCGCGAAGATGGCAGCGGCGTAATTGAACACACACATGATGGAAATACCGGTATAAACGAGGGCGTTAATCATGCCGGGGGAGGTCATTAGACCGAACCAGCGGTGAATGAAAACGAAGACGGTACAGCAGTAAACAAAAGTGATGATGGAAACAACAACCGTTACGGGTAAGGAAAAGCTGACGCCCGGTCTCATCATAGCTGTTTACTATATGATGTTCAGACAAGTTCGGGATGCGCCGCCCTGAAAAACGTAAGCTTTTCCGGTGCTGCTGATATCAAGGTGCTATCTTTTTTTAAAACCAAAAAAGCAAAAATAAAAACAAAAAGTTATGTTTTGCGGAGAAATGTTTTCCCCTTTGAAGGAATTTTGCGGAGAAATAAACCTTTTAATTTGGAGGTTGTCTCTGTTGGGAAAAGACTGTTATATTATAATTTTGGCTTAATATATCAATTGGCTCCTAAACTCTATAACGTTTTTCAACTTGATACTTCAAATATTTTTGGAACCACTTTAACAGCTATACTTGACAATTGTTCTCAATATGGAACCTATGGTTAATGCCATTTAATTTTTTTTCCTACTTTGATATCTGAATTTTACAATTGTTCTCAAAGTCTTACAATTTAATATTAAAGTGGTATTTATTTATAACTGGTTAGATATTAAATTGTAAATAAATACCACCATTGTGTCTAATCTCGTCAATCATTCTCATTTTAATATTAGCATTTCGAAAGTAAATGACGTTAATCATAGATACCCCTTCGAGAATGATTGCCAAGATTAGACACCGAAGTGGTTAAAAATGGTTTAGATACTAAGTTGAGAAACATTATCAAGCTCAGGGGTCAATTAGCACATTAAACCTATAATTTTATATAGCTAGGATTCTTGATGGTTCAATGCCGTTGTTTTTTTCTCTTCTTTTTCTCCAATGCCCGCTTGTTCATATTATTTTCAGATTAATTTTGGGATTTTATTCAGGGGTCTGCGTTTGTTTGATATGATCCGCTGGACTTCTCCGTATAAATTGACTCTAACCCAAACAACAAAACTTCCGAACCGGCCGGCCACCGGCCACATAAAGAGAATCGTTTGAAGGTATAGAGTCGGAGCTCAGTTAAATTGCCTGATTTATTCAGTTTAACAACCAGTCCGAACACATAAAGCCCATGTAGATACATACAATTTATTCTGTAAGAAAATTAAGGTAAGGTACTTCAATCTATCTTTTATCTCTACTTTGGGATAATCGACTTATGAATATTATAAATGATAAATTCTGTAATAAAGCCTACCTTTCCTTTTACAAGTCTCGGCAGTGGCTAAGCTAGTAGATAATAACATCCTGTTCACAATAAAATCAAACAATCCAATCACATCACAAGCAGCATTCCAATTACAGAGCTTGGCAACAATATCACAAGCAATATAACAGTGTATCAACACCACCACACCAATTACAACATGCATGATAAGAGACACTTTAACCAGCCTTCCTAATCAAGATGATGCACAAACATCGGGACAACTATAACTAGAAAGCGCTGGAAATGCAATAGTTTCAGTATGTACACTCCACAAAACATCCCACACCATGCTCTGTTTCGAGCTTAGTATTATTTGCTTTCTAAGATTTAGTGCAATGCTGAACTGCTTGATTGCCTTTCTCCTACATAAACTCTGTAACATAATGCATCACTGGCATACTGATTTTTACCCTTTCAAACTCACATTGGCTGATTGGGAAAAAACTCTTGCACCACAAGAACCGAGTGTTATAGGGTAAAAAGAAACTAAAAATCAACTTCTAAGGCAGAGTGTTCTCCAAGATAACACTTAATTTTCACTAATTAAAGCATTCATGTCGAAAGAATGTAACAAGGGAAAACAAATGACAGTAGGAAACCCTCATTGCATCAGTGAGACTGATAACAATTTGACAAGGTATTGAATGGAAAATTAAAATTATAGAATCCATCACATGGTAAGGTAATTCAAGCGAAAACTCAAAACCAGCGAAGCATACCAGTTCCTGCATGCAGATTGGCTTCCAGTCAAGTAAAATCGAATATAAACAATATCAACAACATGATCATTTGTATTAAGGACTGCAAATAAACAACAAGATCCCTGATAGAAAATTACATATAAGAAAGAAGCCAGGGCATGAATTATACTAATCGAACAAATTTAGGCCTAATATCGATTTATATGGGAGGAATGGTACCTCAGCAACCACTAAAAGGTCATACAAACCAAAAGAGCTTCTTGTACTTCTTCCTCTTGGATGCACATACCAATTCATAAAAGCCTATTTCTCTTTCAACATAATCTAAACTCGAGCAGTTCTTCATTCTTTCACCAAACGTGTTGTTATTTACATTGAGTAAAATAATACAATCTACAAACATTCCCTCCCTTGATTAAAATTGCAACATTATAGTATCAGATAAAAGGAAAACAGATTAACTTTAAAATGTAGAAGAATCCATTCCACGACCATTCAATCCTCGAAATCCAAATTGCTATCTCTACGAGATGATCTACCAAACACTGAACTTGTTCTACTTCTCTTCCTAAACCCTGAATCTGAACCTGAACGAGATGAAGAGCTCCTAAACCTACCCATGAAAGAAGCAAAACTCCGAAAAACTTGCCCCAATCCACTTTCTTGTGACCTTCTCCCATTTGGCGCTCATGAAATCCTTCTAGGAGAACCTGCTGCATTATTAAACCCACCATCCATCTCAGTGAAAACAACTGGAAACTCCCTCTCCGCTGCTCTCCTCCCACCGGGAAACCTCCCCACTGCGAACCCACCTCCCGGTAACCTCCATATTGTTAATCCCACGGCTTCTTCATCTCTAACTGTTTCGCTTTCCCCTAAGTTGTTTCCGTTATTTTCCCTTGGCAAGTCATGGCGGCAAACTGGACATGAGTATCGAATTGAAAGCCAGGGTAAAATGCAATCCGAATGGTAAATATGCTTACAAGGCATTTCCCGAGCTTCACAATCTAGGTCGAACAGCTCTTTACAAACTGCACAGTGGGATTCCGTGCTTACATGTCCCCCAGTGATCTTAATCACCGGCATTGATTCAATAGCCGCTTTGGAAGCCGGTGGTTGCTCGAAACGGCCAACTCCGTTTACTTCTAATTGGGATAACTGATCAAGAATCCGGTCAAAACCCGAACCAATTAAAAACTAAGACATGCTAGCAGGTAAGGGGCGAAGACTGGACCCTGATCCATCATCATAATAAAGCTCAAAATTGCTATTTCCTCTTTCGGCAACTACACCTTCGGACTCGGAGGTAGGTCCACGGAGAAGAACGACGGGATTGAAAGGGGATCGATCTCCAGCATTTCGTCGAGCTCGTCGGAAATGAGGAGTTCCGGTGGGGCTGAGAACTGGGTTGTGCGTCTCGGAGTACATAGCGGCGGCAGGGAAACGGTGGTGAATGGGAGAACGAGAGGGAATTTTTACTTCTTCGATGAATCCGCTACCGCAGTCGGGGCAATGGATCGAATCTTGTGGGGATCGGACCCGGACCCGGACCCAGATCCGGATGAAACGGTTGCACCTGTAGCACCAATAGGGTGATCTTATCGACTCAATCGAAAAGAATTAAGCCCAGAAGTTTTGAAGAAATCAAAACTTTGAGATGTCTGAGAAAATTTAAAACCTAGAATTTCAGAGTGCTTAGGAAAAGAAGGTTTTTTTTATTATAAAAAATCGCCCTAAAAAAATTAGTTGTCAGTTACCAATTGAAAAATAATGTCCGATGTAACACGAGAGAGAAAAAGGTGCATCCGACGAAACGTTCCTTAAGGCTAAGGCGCGGCTGGTTAAATGCACCTTAGGTCCATTGTATGTGGTTGATGCACCTTATCGATTTGAAGTAGTTGACACATTGAGTTGGAGGTTCGCACTGTTGGTATTTTTATTTAGAGAAATGTATCAGGCTATAAATTATATGAAGACTTCTATTGGCTGGTGTCTCATGCTACTCCAATTGTGGGCATGGTACCACATGCTTTTTTTCTGCCCGCTCGTGAATGAGCCAATTTCGTTTTTGTTACTATCAAGGTATCAATACTAACTATATATATATATATATATGTGGTAAAGTAATAGAAAAAATCATCGTGATATCCTAGAAGAATTGCAAGATATCCGATTAGTCATTGACCAGAAAGTTGGTGTAGAGATACATTTTTTAATTTTAATTTTAATTTTTTTAATTTAATTGTATTTATATAATTTGAATCTTATTTTAATTTTGATTAGAAATATATAATTTTGTTTTAGTTCAAATGGTTTTCATATTTGGACGATGAATTAAGGGTTTGCATCCCACTTAACTTGAGTGGGCTATTTGATGTATGGGTGGCGGTTGTACCCTTTATTTGTTATGCTATTGTTGAGTGACATATGACTTATCACGTGCTTCATCAGTTTGAGTTTACACAATATATTCTAGAAGCACCAAGGAACCTCAACAATATGCATAACATCGATAGATGGGGAAGAAAAAGGTGAATTGGTTGGTGAAGCATAGAGATTGGTTGGTGATGTGGGAGAACTAACATCAAAGCTTACCCTATCGACAATATATAATAAAAATTGGTTCAATGGTTTCAGATGGCTATATTGAATGGTTCAACGCAAACGGGAAGCCATTCTTACTTTCAGCGGAAGCACGATGAGTGGCAATTCATCGTTGTCGAAAAAAATGTCTGACGCCAAAACATCATCGTCCCCCCTACTACTAGACAAAGAGCAGGTGCTTCCAGGTCATCCTCAGCTATGCTACTAGAATCATCATACCAGCAACCAACGACATCGGTTTACATCCCTAGCCCTCCAATTCACATGGGGACACCATTTAACTTTCAGACGCCACCATAGCCGGTTCAGATGCCACATCTGTAAGTCCAAATGCCATATATGCCGGTTTAGATGCCACCATCGTATAGCTATGCACAGAGCTCGTAGGGTTTTTTGACACCTAATAGCATATATTTTTCGACTATGCTTACGGATCTAACATTTAGTACCTACGCGAATTATCTTGCGAGTGGTTATCCACCACAAACATCTCAAACGCAATATGCGTCGCATACATCGATGTCCAATTTTTCAAAATTTTTGTAGTTTTCAACGAGTGGTGGATCGTCAATCATACACCTCATAGAAGTAGGAGGAGGATGACGATGAGTATGAGAAGGAAGAGGATGATGACGACGACGATGAGGACGAGGAGGAGCAACATATATGAAGAAACCCTTATAGAAGTAGACAACCACCACCCAATGGAACACATTCCAGGAGAC